GGTTAGTGCGTGTTGGGTAAATTCATTTTCATAGCAGATGTTTAATTGTCGGTGTGGTGTGCGAGCAATGGAGAAGCGTGTGCGTAATGATGATGGGGCGTGTGCATTTACACGTTGTGGTGTGTGCGAATGAATCACATATTATGCAATGGGTTCAAATAGATGAAAAGGCAATATCACACTGGAACCACACAAATTCTGATACTTCTATACAATGAGAAGAAAACCAACTTTTGGAGGAAATTGATTTAAACACATTACACATGTAATGAATTGTTGGCAAGAAAGCAACCATTTAATTAAATTGAGTCACTTCAGTTACATCTTGGTTGTGTGAAAGCCTAAATGTCATCTATTAACAACCAATATTCTAGGCAAAAATGGTGAAATGTACACCTTGGCAGATAAAAGAGATAAAAGAGTATCTGGCTCTCTCTTCATATGCAGGTCATGATCAATAGAGAAGAGCCAATCTTTCTGTATACAACTTCAAAAGCTTTGAATATCTCAGCCTCATAAAATTCATACTTCTTGTAAGCCCCCATCTTCTTTTCCCAAGTCTCTTTGCTCATTGCCCTGAAGGCATGAACTACTAGAAGAAACTTGTATCTCCATGGGTTAAACCCCATTCCCTGGAGGTTGAAAATCATGAATTGCAGTGCAGGATGAATTCAAAACATGAATTATAGTGAAGGTATAGGCAATACATTTAGCAAAACATTTAAATTGCATTTAAGCTTGTTGAATTCGACTTTAAAACTAAGACCCATTGTTGAAATCCACAGTTTATGTGAAGCCATATCTCTATAACACCTTAACAACACAATCAAAACCACCAAAAAACAACTGGAATAAGGTGAGCAACAACACATACTATCCATTATTCTTCATTGTCCAATAACAACAACCTATTGATTTCCAGGTCCATAATTCAATACATAATCTAATCATAGGCAGCCATTTACATCAAAGAAGAACAACCCCAACAGGAAACAATCACAAAGACTCAATCTTTTCTTGCCTACACAAACACTCTTATATTGTAAGACTATCCTTATCCATAGTAATAAATTCGTGAACACACTAAAACAATAACGCAGATACCAGGAAATTTCAAAATAAAAAACATGTATTGCCGTGTCCAGAATAATGCAACATGCACATAGTGACACTCAACTATGCACAGACCAATCAACCAAACATTCTAAGCCACACTAACAGAAAACAAAATCATAGACAACTGTCTTTTAAGAATGAAAATGACAACACACATAAATTAAACATAGTCCAGAAATTTAGCTAAGAGTGCTAGTCATTGTCCGTATATTGATTCTGTTTATGATGTTTGTTCAACTAAACATATTTCTCTCACCCCTTGCGGTGTATCTTCAGTTTCTCTTCTATCAGACGGTTCTGCGCTCAGCGACGCAAGGAAGGCGGCCTCCTCCGTTTTGGCTAGCGCGCTCATCCCTCTCCGGTGCCGGTTTGTCCGTTTAGTGATTGAAGTTGGTGATTGAATTATGGATTTCATGATTTATCTGAGGGGGTTTAATTGTAGGGAGTGGAGAAGTTGATAGCCTCGAGGATGATATTGCCCGGATCGAGTAGAAGAATTCACTCTGTTCATCGCCATTCTGGCATGGTACTGCCGGTTTTTCTTCTTTTACTCTTTGTTCTGTATTAATATTAATCGCGGATGCACACATATATATAAACAGATATAATATTAACATCAAGAATAGCCTATTTATTTAAACTGACGTTGTTGGTTTCAACTTTGATACACTATTCTTTGAATTGGGAACTGAGAAACTCGTATTTTGGCTGCATCTGATGACAACAGCTAATTACACACAAATATATATGTAAATGAAAGACAAAAACAACTCTATAAACATAACCATGACAAATTCAGGCAAAAAAAAATCCAAGATTATAAAACTAATAAATTGAGATCGTTCAAACAACTAAATAAAGGGCCCAGATTGGTGCACTGGCTTACAATTTAAAATATGGTATCGTATATACACAGAGAATTAAAAAAAAAAAAACACAACATAAACCAAAAAAAAATGAAGAAGAACACTCGCCGCCCAGTTTGTAACCCACCAAACCACCGGACATCCACGAGCTCGCCGGACACAAACCCCAAAACACACAAGAACTAGGACCGCACAAGAAATCGAAACTCCAAAACCCTAACCAATCCCATAGCTACGGCAATTTACCACAGAAACCCAGATAAAACACCACAAAACATACAAAAAAAACAATTTAAAAAATAAAATAGAGAACGACGATAGATAGTACCCGTAGACGACGACGACGAGATACCTCTAAGTCGCTTGGACTGCCTTCTGCTAGACCCATCCACGGAGACACTGACGCCGGGCAGACGATGCAAGGCTTCGAACGGAAAGGAGACCAACCGGCGAGAGAGAGGAGATGAGCGTGAATATAGACAGGTGCGAGAGCTTTGCGTAAAGACCCAAAAAATAAACCTAAAAATTGAATACCCAAATGCTTAGACAACGCCAGAAATAAAGCTAGAGATAATAAAAGCATAAGTCAAAGTACAAAATTACCCCTACTTACCTAAACAATCAGCGCACATGGGGAATAAACCAACACCATCCGAGCCATTGATCAAAAGAAATCAGCGGCTGCGGAGTGTGCTCACGAGCACGGCTGAATGTGGGGTGTGCACCAGATTCAAAATCTATATATATATATATATATATATATATATATATATATATATATATATATATATTATAAGTGCTATTTTCCTGCTCATTGTAGACAAAAATATAGTTTGAAATTTGAAATCAGTCAATAAAACATTACAATACTTAACAAAATTAAATTACCATAAATTTGGTATATAGAATCATTACATATAATTTGCATACATAATTCATAACCTTAATTAATTTGACATTAATTCTTCCAAATGGTCAAGGTTGCAAAACTCGGCCGCCTAGCCGCTAAGCGGCACCGAGCCTTAGAGTTTTGGCCTAAAGGCGGCCAAAACTCGGCCGGCCGCTAGGCGGCCTGGGCGGCCAAACTCAGCCAACTAGGCCGAGTCGGTCAACTCGGACAACTCGGCCGAGTCGACTGATTTCGTCCGATTTTGACCATTTTTGACCGATTTTGTCTGATTTTGACCGATTTTGTTCGATTTTGACTGATGTCGTCTTTCATTAATTATTGATTTTAATATTATTATGACATTATGACTTATAAATTATCATTATTTCATTTATTTAGATGTGTTATTTGAGTGAATGTTGAAAACAACCTCATTAAAATTGTCGAACTACAAGGCCTGCGCTGCCCGGCTAGCGCCTAGCGCCTACTGAAACCATGCAAATGGTTGAACCCTAACTCTAAGGCCCCCCACACCCCCCGACCCGACAGAGCATTTGGGAGGATGTAAATCATGGTAACTCAACTGAACATGAACCACAGAGGCTACTTTTTCTCACTGCGCACAAGGAACCCCCCTCACTAGGTTGCTCCCACAATGCCAGTGGTGAGACTCGATCCCTGATCATTCTTCCAAACTTTCACCTCTATGACCAGTTGAGCTGCTCATGCGGGTAATTTGTATACATTAATTAAGTAGTGGATTAGTGGACAAATAAAAATATTAATAATATTAATACTACTAATAATAGTAATAGAGGAAATTTCAATTTTGGTCATATGACTATAGGGGTCTTGTTAATTTTAGTCCCTGACTTTCAAAAGTGTTAATTTAGTACCTTAACTATGCAATTTTTGTCAATTTTGGTCGCTCCGGCCAAATTTCGCCGGAAAATTTTAATAATTAAAATAATAAGGGTATTTTGATCGTTTCACGCCTCTTTTCTTCTTCTCCGGCAAGTCCATCCCTTTCTCTCCCGTTTCCGGCATTCTTTCTCCCTGTAAACCCTATCTTTAATATCATCAAGCCTCCTTTCCCAATCATCTTAGTTCATTTCATTCGTCAGAAACGGGAGAGGAAGGGATAGACTCGCCTGGAAAGAAGAAAAGAGACGTGAAATGATCAAAATGCCCTCACTATTTTAACAATTAAAATTTTTTGGTGAAATTTTGTCGATAATTTGGCCAGAGTGATCAAAATTGACAAAAATTACATAGTTAAGGTACTAAATTGACACTTTTAAAAGTCAAGAATTGAAATTAACAAGACTCCTATAGTCATAGGACCAAAATTGAAATTTCCTCAATAGTAATATTATTATTTAGTATATAGAATCATTACATATAATTTGCATACATAACTCATAACCTTAATTAATTTGTATACATTAATTAAGTAGTGGATTAGTGAACTACTAAAAATATTAATAATATTAGTACTGCAAATAATAGTAATATTATTAGGGTTAATAATAATATTAATATATTATGGTTAATAATAATTAATATTAATATATTTCGTTTACTTTTTAAGTGGTGATTATTTCTTAATATAATTTCATGAGGTAGAGTATTCCCATCTTAGTTGTTGTCTTTATTTGTTAGTGTTCAATTGCAATATGTTAGATCTATAAGTTGGCCTACTTTAAAAACAAAAAAGGACGGGTGATGCAAACTTAATAATTAAACATAATAATTATTAAAAAAAAAAGAATAAACAAATAAATAATTTAGCAATTAGTCATGCGGTGAATGTTAATAAACAATTTATTAATATTGAATAAATGTTAATATTCAATTAACTTTACTTAATAGTCTATAAATATTATCCGTGCATTGCACGGGAAAATTACTAGTCAATGGTTAAATCCAGAAAAAAAAAACTATAGATAATGACTAATTAAATTGGGTAAAATCATTATAGTTGATGACTAAATTGAGCATTAATTGATGATAAATTACTAAGCTATCATAACATATGACTCAATTAGGTAAAACCATCAAAATCTAATACCCAATCAAGCACAAAAAAGTCATTTAAGACTAAATCAAAAAAAAATAGTTTATGATTAAATTGAGTATTAACTTGCTTTAAATGCTATTCTCATTTGCTACACTAGTAGTTGCACCCGTGCGATACACGGCCATATGTATAGTATATGGAATATACAGTATAAAATATAGTTATTAAAAATGTAATAAATTAGAAATGAAAAAATATAAATTTTATTACACATTGTTGAAGACTTCTTTGTACACAACATTTGTTGTCTTACTTCGACATGTTACATCTTCACCACAAATCAATATTTTTAAACCCCTCGGATTACTAACTCTTGAAACAGCTACGTACATTTGGCAATGGTTAAAGACAAGTCTTTTTAAAAACAATCCTACTTTTGCAAGTGTCTGTCCTTGGCTTTTTGTTTATTGTCATGGCATAGGATAGCATCAATGGAAATTGCTTTCGTTGGAATTTGAAAGGCAATCTAGGATCTGACGGTGTAAGTGACATTCTTGGAATCAAAACTGTAGTACCTGCATTTGTACCGGCCATGATCTTGGCTTCCAACACGTGATCAGCTAGCCTAGTTACAATCAACCTTGTACCATTGCATAATCCAAGAGTGTGATCAATATTTATCAATAGCATAACAGGTGACCCAACTTTCAAAGTCAAAGCATGATTAGGTACTCCCGAACATCGCAGACCATTCAAGAATTTTGGAGTGTGCAAATCCGCTAACATATCTACGTTAGAATCTGACTTGCAAACTGAATTACAACTCAAATAAGTCCTACCATCACATGGATTATGATCATTCATGTATTGGTTAATGATATCCACCACATCCAATGTTGGAGCCAATATAGCACTATCCTTAAGGTATGATAAATCGTCATTTGCACATCTAAACATAGGGAAGGTGCTATCCACAATAGTAGCAATAGGATCATCGCTCCATTTTAGCAATAATTGATCGGGAATTGTAATCTATGCTTCACCATCACTTGAATTACCAACTGTTCTGTCACCTAGTGCAGCTATCCAGTTTACAAATTCTTCAATCTCGGTAGCCTCTGTCTGCGATTGTACACTTCTTAGGCGTAGATTTTTAGTTAACCTAAATACTTTGCATGATCTCCAAAGGTATGAGGAATTAATGCTTGCACCAACAATATCTTGCCCTGTGCCCTTTGGAATAATCGGTAGAATTTGCCTAAAATCACCACCAAAAACGACTGTTTTACCACCAAATGTCATTTCGGAACTACTTGGATTTATGGATCGCATCAAATCCCTCATAGTTCGGTCCAGGGCTTCAAAACAGTATTTGTGCATCATTGGAGCTTCATCCCATATTATCAACTTGCTTTGCAAAATTAGCTCAGCTAATGGGGTGCCTTGTCTTTTGTTGCAAGTGGAATCTTCATTCACAGATGTAGGTATTCCGAACCTAGAATGTGTTGTCCTGCCACATGGTAATAGAAGAGAAGCTATGCCGCTAGACGCAACATTTAGAACAATTTCACTGTAACACTCTGAAATTTTTTAACTTTTAAGACTTATATAATAAAGGTAAATTCTCATTAAATCCCAAAGCATAATATAATAGAGTACGGGGTGCTATGCCACACCTGAGCTGGAGAACTCAGGTGCACAGGCTAACTAACTAATATCCTCAATAATGTAAATACATAAGCATGGCACGCAGGCCGAAAGGGAAACTATCTACTCTACTCCTCAAGTCTCTAGCGCGCTCCAGTGTCTACTCCTCTGTGCCTGAAAGCCAAATATATCTGTTTAGCGAGAGATGTTGGTAACCCACTCCAACGCATTGAAATATAGCGAGAGATGTTGGTAACCCACTCCAACGCATTGAAATATATATATATATATATATATATATATATATATATATATATATATATATATATATATATATATATATATATATATATATATATATATATATATATATATATATCGATATACAAAAATCATTTCGAAGCAGGAAGATATATACTTAAGAGACGCTAGTTTTAAAACCAGGAATAGACTCAGCAAATAGGGATAAGTACATCAGACAACAATAATAACATCATAAGGAATACGCATTTATGGTCACAAACCACTTCTCAATCCCAATCCACATCATCATCCAATCATCATTCATATCACATAATCATCGATGGTGCCACGGGACCAATCGCATGCCCCGAACATGAGGGTTAATGCCTATAGCATTAACACGGCCCCGCAGCACCCTACCTCAGTACCGCGGTGACGAGGGGAGTTGATCGCAACCAACCCTTTGAGAACCGCTGACGAACTCAACGTCGGACCACGATCTGACACACCGCTGACGCGCCCAGTCGGTGGACCGTGATCCCCTTTACAAGGGGGGACTTACGACCCTACACACCGTTGATGCGCACAATCGGTGGGCCGTAGTGGATCAAGCCCGACACACCGCTGAGCTAAACTCAGTCGGTGGGCAAAGATCCTCGGAGACTACGGTCCTACATACCGATGTCCCACCACTCGGTGGGTCGCAGCCAGCCGTAGCC